GTATCCATGCCTCATCCCCTTGGACCCAGGGGATTGCTGCGCACAGCAGGACTTGGGTTTGAATCCTGACTCTAATACTCAACCAGTGTATGAGCTCCTCACTGTGCTGATCTCTCTGGGTCTGTTTCCCCAGGTGTAAGACCACATAAGACACCTACCTCTTAGACTTTGCTGAGGCTGAAATGAAACCATGTATATGGACCACTTCCCATAGCACCTGGCATCCCCAGGTGTGCCATTCAGCGTGTGTTTGCCACTTCTGTCTAACTGAGACATCTGACCTGAGGCTCTTCCCAGTCCCAATGGAATCAGGTCATTTACAACTTACATTTAGAATTTAACATGTTTACAAGTATTGTCATCCACTAAGATGGATTGGTTGATAGAGGGATGGAGAGATGGAGAGCTGTATCAAATATAGCAATATGTTATAGAGCTAAAGCAAATAATTGATAAAGTAAATATAACAAAATCTTAATTTTATAATCTAGATGATAGGTGTATGGGTATTCACTGCACAATTTTTTGAGCTTTTCTGGATGTTTGAATATTTTCATAAGAAAATGTGAAAAAACGCTAATAATTTATGAAATATATAAAACTCAAAGAACAAATTTAGAGCTGGATAGCAGTTCCTAGGAACTCATTATGTCATTCCTTTATTTTGTGTATGTTTGAAAATTTTCAAATTACAAAGATTTTAAAATTTTTTACTGGGATGCAAATTGGGGACACTGCGCTAGGTGAAATAAAGCAGTCACAAAAAGACAAATATTGTATGGTTCCAGTTTTATGAATTACCTAGAGCTGTAAAATTCATAGAGACAGAAAGTAGAATGGTGGTTTCCAGGGGCTGGAGGAAGAGGAAAAATGGGGAGTTTAGTGCTTAATGAAAATAGAGTTTTAGATTTGCAAGATGAAAAAGTTATGGAGATTGATTGTACAACAATGTGAAAATATTTAAAACTACTGAACTGTACACTCAGAAATGGTTAAGATGGTGTCCTGGCCAGTGTGATTCAATTGGTTGAGTGTCCTCCTATGCACTGAAAGGTCATTAGTTTGATTCCTGGTCAGGGCACAGATTCAATCCCCTGGAATTGATGTGTTTCTCTCTCTCTCTCTCTCAAACAAAAACACAATAAAAGCATATAAAATGGTTAAGATGATAACTTTTATTTATGTGTATTTTATGACAATGTTTTAATTTTTTTAAAATTTACTATTCAAATATATCATGGAGGCACTTGATATAGGCCATAGTGCTAGATACAGTATACAAAGTTCAGTAAAAATTGACTCTAGATTTTAATCATGATGAAATACTGGAAATACCATGAAATTCTGAGTAAAATCAATAAGTTTCAATTCCAGTTCTTCCTTGTTTTAGGTGTGAGAATAAAAAGAAGTTATTTCCGTTTCACTTACTTTATTTTAAAGATAAGTATAAAAATTCCTATAGGTCAATGCAAATATATTTTTTATTTATTTACTCTTTTTTCTCTTCTTTTTTAAAAACTATTTCATATAAAACCAAACAACCCCCCTTGTAACTACTACCAAATTAAAAAAAGAACTTTGCCACTCACCCCTAAAACCCCCATCCAATTTTAACCCATCAACCATTACCCTGACTTTATAACAATTACATTGCATTTCTTTTTTTTAAAATTTATTTCAGAGGGGAGAGGAGAGGGAGAGAGAGAGAGAGATAGAAACATTAATGATGAGAGAGAATCATAGATTGGCTGCCTCCTGCATGCCCCCTACTGGGGATCAAGCCCACAACCCAGCATGTGCCCTTGGCTGGAATCGAACCTGGGACCCTTCAGTCTGAAGGCTGATGCTCTATCCACTGAGGCAAACCAGCTAGGGCACGTTGCATTTCTTTATCATTATATTACCCAAGTGTACATCCCAAAACTTTGTAGTTTAGCCTTGCCTATTAAAAAAATTGTTAGGTTATATATATATACTAGAGGCCTGGTGCACAAAAATTTGTGCACTCGGGGGGGAGGGGGAGTCCCTCAGCCCGGCCTGTGCCCTCTCACAGTCTGGGGCCCCTCGGGAGATAATGCCCTGCTGGCTTAGGCCTGCTCCCGGGTCGCAGAGGGCAGGCCCAATCCCTAGGTGCAGCCCCTGGTGGGGCCCAGAGTAGGGCTGATTGCGGAGTTGGGGCGCCGTCCCCTGTCATGCACAGAGCAGGGCAGATCGGGAGGTTGCGGCGCCACCCCCTGTCATGCTCAGAGTAGGGCCAATTGGGGGGTTGGGGCACCGTCACCTGTCACACTCAAGGCAGGGTCGATGGGGAGGTTGCGGCGCCATCCCCTGTCACACACAGAGCAGGGCCCATCAGGGGGGTTGGGGCTCACCCCTGTCATGCACAGAGCAAGGCCCATCAGGGGGTTGGGGAGCTCCTCCCGTCACGCACAGAGCAGGGCCGATCAGGGGGTTAAGGAGCTCCCCCCTGTCACTCACAGAGTAGGGCCAATAGGGGAGTTGGGGCACCGCCCCCTGTCACACACAGAGCAGGGCAGATCAGGGGGTTGGGGAGCTCCCCCCTATCAGACACAGAGCAGGGCTGATCAGGGGGTTGTGGCGCCTTCCCCTGTCACGGACAGAGCAGGGCAGGTAGGGAGGTTGTGGCACCACCCCCTGTCACACACAGAGCTGCAGGGTGATTGGGGGGGTTTGGGTGCTGCCCCCTGTCACACTGATCCTGGTGCTGGGAGGCATATTACCCTTTTACTATATAGGACAGAGGCCTGGTGCATGGGTGGGGGCTGGCTGGTTTGCCCTGAAGGGTGTCCTGGATCAGGGTGGGGGTCCCCACTGAGGTGCCTGGCCAGCCTGGGTGAGGGGATGATGGCTGTTTGCAGCTGGTCACACACCCTTCAGGGTGGGGGTCCCCACTGGGGTGCCTGGCCAGTCTGGGTGAGGGGCTGAGGGCTGTTTTCAGGCTGGTGGGTGACCAAATCTCCCAACTGCTCCTTTTTTTCTTTTTTGTTTTTATTCTGGGCCAGCTTTAGCTCTGGCTCCAGCTCTGAGGCCTCCGCGCTGCTGAAAGCAGGTATCTGGTTTGTTTAGGTTCTATAATTGAGACACTGTATCAACTCCAGCTCTGAGATCCTCGCTGCTGAAAGCAGGTTTCTGGGGTTTTGTTTAGCTTCTATATTTGTTACAATGTTTCTTAAACTGCAAGCTCAGAGGCCGGCAGTGGCAGGCAGGGAAGGTTGGAGTCCTCCATCACTGAAGCAAGCAAGCCTCATGTTAGCTTCCAGCTGCCTGGCTGCCAGCCGCCATCTTGGCTGGCAGTTAATTTGCATATCTCGCTGATTAGCCAATGGGAAGGGTAGCGGTCGTACGCCAATTACCATGTTTCTCTTTTATTAGATAGGATTAGTATATATATTTCACAAGCAGTTTAACATATTTCTCTGTACTCTTTTTTTCTGCAAATTGGCAGCTGGATGCAGTGGCCAGAGCTGGTTCCAGTTTTTTGTTTGTTTTTTAATCTGCACTCAAGGATATTTTTTCATTGATTTTCAGAGAGAGTGGAAGAGAGAGGGAAAGACAGAGAAACATCGATGCGAGAGAAACACATCGATTGGTTGCCTCCTGCACATGCCCTGACCAGGGCCCGGGCTGGGGAGAAGCCTGCAACCAAGGTATGTGCCCTTGACCAGAATCGAACTCGGACTCTTTGGTCTGCAGGCCGACCCTCTATCCACTGAGCCAAACCGGCTAGGGGAAGGTTCAATTTTTATCTCTTTACGGGTAGTGGCATGTCTTCTCATTAAGGGGCACATAATGTCTTGTGTCATTTTTTTTTTGTAATGTTAGCAGCTGAGATGCTCAATGCCTAGATCCATTCATTAGTGGTTGCAAAGTGGTGATATTCAAGTTTTCACAATTCTTTTTTGTTTGTTAACTGCAATACTTTTATACAGATGCTTTCACTCACCTATCATTTGGTTACCAATGCTATAGTTCATATAGGAAAGGCAGAATAAAGGTTTTACTCTTTTCCTTTTATATACCAGTTTTGAAGAAAATTACTTGGTTTCCTATCATCCTCCAAAAGTCAATTATCTTCTTGGAGCTTAGATTGTCTCATCTGTGGCCAGTGGGAAACTGCTGAAGCCAGGTCCGTTAGCCATGACCCTACTAGGCCTTGACAGACAGCTTTCTTACCATCTGTTATGATAACCAGATTCAAGGGTTATCTTTACATTTTCAGTCCCAGACCTGGAATCAGCCATTTCCGAAAAAATTAAATTAAATTAAAATGCTGGTTTGTTTTTCACAACTTGGTTGCCAGGGTTGCTCATTTTTTCTAGGCCTCTTCAGAAGACAGAGCTAGGAAATACACACACACACACACACACACACATTCTTTTTTTAATTATTTATTTTTTTATTGTCTAAAGTTTTACATATGTCTCCTTTTTCCCCAATTGACCCCCAGCCCTGCCAAGCCATTCCCACCCCGGGCAAACCCCCACTGCCCCAGTGTCTGTGTCCATTGGTTATGCTAATATGCATGCATACAAGTCCTTTGGTTGCTCTCTAACCCACCTCCCCACCTCTCCCCTGCCATTCGTCTCTGGATCTATTCTTGTTCATCAAATTATGTTGATCATTATATCCCACAAATGAGTGAGATCATATGATATTTATCTTTCCCTGACTGGCTTATCTCGCTTAGCATAATGCTCTCCAGGTGCATCCATGCTGTTGCAAATGGTAAAAGTTTCTTATTTTTCATAGTGGCATAGTACACATTCTTTTTATAAAAAAAATAAACCACGTTATGAGATCATACTACCTGCAATTCAAATTCAGGAATATAGGTTGTTTTTTAGTCAACTTATTCTAGATTATATCTGTATTTCCTTTCTTCCACACCAAAAATACAGGTCCTTGAAGATAATAGGGGATGATAAAATTAGAATATCTCATAATTATTCATTTAGTTTATACCACTGTGTTAGGGGTGCCTAAGACTACCTCACATCCGGTGACTCACTAGAAGGAGTGATTGAGCATATATTTGTGTTAGAGTAAGTAGATAGATATGAGCAGAGGAGATAAAAGACAAACTGACCAAAAAAAACAAAACAAAACCCATGGTCAAGTAAACAAGGGAAAGGGAGAATAGAAAACTAAAACAGCCATCAAAATTAGACGAAGACAGGGAAAAGAAATGCAGTAAAAATGACTCCTAGCACCAAAAGGACATCTGCAGACACACGACATTCTAAGAAGCCCACCAGTTAAGCAGACCCACGAAATTCTAGGGAGCCTACCAGCTAAAGGACGAATGGTGCAGGGAGATTAGCATGAAGCGTGGGAGGGGCAAGAATAAAACAAAGGCCAGGATTTAGACCCCCGGATGTACTTGAATACAGCTTTGACGCTCTCTGCAATTTCCCCGTCTGTCGCGTTGAAATCCTTCCTCCTGGAGAGGAGAACCTGGTCTTGCTGATCCCCAGCGCCGCTGACAGTTCTAACCGCCAGCCCGGAGCCGGTTCAAGAAAGCCCCCAAATGGTAAGCATCTAGCCTCGCCCTCCCTTGGGCTAGAGGCTTTGCGTTCCCTCTCTCCCCCTCTCCCACCCTCTTTCTCTAAGCCGCACTCTCCTGGACACCGGTCACCCAGTTAAATGCCGCAAGGGCGGGTGCCACTTGGAGGCTCCCGTGGAAGGTAAGGTAGTGCTCAGCCCGGGGCAGAAAACCCACCACCCACCCGCTAGAAAAAGGCTGATAGCATCTCAATACTGACCCAAGCCCCAGGCAATTAATTTGGAGAGAAAGACATTCTGACTTTCGCTTTTTTGTTGTCGTTGTTAATCCTCACCCCGGGATATTTTTTCTTTGATTTTTAGAAAGAGTGGAAAGGAGGACCCTTCAGTCCGCAGGCCTATCTATGCTCAATCCAATGAGCCAAACCCGCTAAGGCTTGCGTTTGCTTTGGCACTTTAACCGGCTCCTAATAATTGGTGAGGCCCAGTCTCTGAGCTTGAGCAAACATTTCTTCGGGGAAGTAAAGATCACCTGTAATTAACATTGGACTCATCCGGGAAGCGCATGTAAGGGTTAGCCAGCTGTCTTAGACACTAGAAGGAGCAGGGGTAGCCAGCCGGCCGCGGGGTCACTGCTCCTGGCAGCCTTTCCCATACGCAGCACACACTCCGGGAGAACTTTGTTCAGGCTCAACAGATCTTAGTCCATGATGCCCGGGTTCAGATTATCAACCCCGCCGTCTGCCCCTACGCATCTTCTTTCAGAAACTTCCACGTTTTACCTCCTGAATCTTATTTACCCGTCAGGTATTCTTTCTTTTGCCTCCCTCTCCTCGCAGCTGTGTTTGAAGTGCAGGCGAGGTGCCTGCTGTATATGCGGAAGGGCGGGTCACAACTATTCCTTAAGGCGTCTGGTGGCTCAGACGAAGGATAGAGTTCCTCATTTTCCTTGCTTGCTGCACCACATCAGGAGAGAACACTGGCCTGATTCTGTGATGAACGCTTTTCTTATTTACTTTTTGTTTCACCGCTCCTTGAAGAGTCTCCAGAGCTCCATTTATTATCAGCCCCTACGAGATTTTTCTCGCTTACTTCGATTCAGCTACTTATATCCTGTGAGGCCTGACATCTCCCACGTTCAAGCTGCGGTTCATTGGCAGCAGGGTTCCCTGTTCAGTCAACTTGTAGCTCTACTGTGCTCCTCTTGGGACTCAAGAATACTCCTTATTAAATATCTAGACATTTCAGACCTTAACTGCCGCCAGCACTTTTGCTGTCTCTGTCGGGGCAGCCACTGGAAAGATGAGCGCATCCCACGGGCCTTTTTTATCAAGAACGGACTCCCCTGTCTGCTTAAACATTTGGTTTGTCCAATATTACGCCCTATTGAGACAGAGATAGCCTCATCAGGAAAACACCTAAACTCAAATGACTTATTAGAGTGGATCACATATTACAAGTATATTTTTCACAGACTAATCATAAGACGCTACAAGGTACTCATGCTTCAAGAGATAGCAGGACTTCAACTCCTAAGAACACTATCCAGCTTTCCAGAGTATGGGTTCCAACCGAGGCACTCAGGGGAGAGGAAGGGATCAAAAAGATAGATGAAAATATATCGCTCAAAAAATCCACAACCTGGAAATGTGGAGTCACTAGGGAAGCTTTGGCCAAGCATTTAAGAGAATTTCTAAAGAGGTCTAGAAATACGCTACAGAGAGAACTTGGCAAAGGGGATGCCCAAGCCTGTCCATACTTTCTATTCATTTGAACAAGGTCACAGGACACGCTGGCCCGTTCACACTCTCCTTTCCAGCCCAGACCTCTCTTTTCTATTTTCCAGATGGGCAACACCACCTCCATACCACAGGACTCACCACTGGGATGTATTATCAAGAATTAGGATACATATGACCCCCAAACCCTCAGAAAGAAAAGATTAATCTTCTTCTGTAATACAGCCTGGCCACAATATAAATTAGATGACCAAGAAGTCTGGCCCCATATGGAAGCATAAATTATAATACTATTATTCAGTGAGACCTGTTTTGTCACCGGCAAGGGAAATGGACTGAGGCCCCGTACATACAAGCCTTTATGGCCCTCAGAGACAATCCTAAGCACTGCAACTCTTGCAAATTAGATCCAGATGTTATAGCAGTTATTAGCCAGATGCCCCAGCCTAAAACTATAGGCACCCTAGTCCCCAAAACTCCAACTGGCACCAGGGACCTTGGCTACAGTCCCTGAATGCCCTACTAATGATCCTGTGCCCTTCACATAGGACCCACAACCCCTAGTCTGTATCCATTACAAGAGGTTACTGGACCCTCTGGTCCTGCATGGGTCCAGGGCCCATTCTCCATTCAGGATCACAGACAGGTAAAATCAGACCTTGGAACGATTTCAGATGATTCCAAAAAATACATGACAATTTCCTTAAACTAACCGAACCTTCGACTTTGCTTGGAAAACTATTGTAGGGATCATGGGGCAAACTGTCGTACCAGAGCAGTGAGCTGAAGTAACTGAAGCAGCTCAAGTATTTGGGGATGACACCCACCTAACTCAGCTTCAAATATACCCTATAGGAGCTGTTGCAGTCCCAAAGCCAGACCCCCACTGGAGCTACAACAACCAACAAGACAGAGTTCTTAGAGATCACTTTTTACATTGCTTAATAGAAGGAATGAAAAAAAATGAAAGCACAACTAAAATGATAATAAACTTTCAACCACTGATCAAGGGCCCCAAGAAAACCCTTCTGCCTTTTTAAAAGAAAGATTTAAAGAGACCCTTGGTAAACATACCACCATAGATCCCAACTCACCTGAGGGACAATTGATTTTGAAATATCACTTCCTAACTTAGGCGACCCCAGACATCTGGTACAAAGTACAAAAACTAGCCTTAGGTCCAGGGACACTGATGGCTGAGATCCCAAAGGCAGCATCCTCAGTTCACTATAATAAAGAAATAGAGGAGGAAGAAGAGAACAAAGAGAAACAAAAGCCAACGACAAAAGGCAGGCTCAGCTACTCTCTGCCCTCAGGCCCAGCCTTCTCAGAAGCGGGGAAACCCCAAGGCTCCTGTTGGAAACCACCATCACTGTGGGAAATCTGACCATTGGAGGTGAAGCCAAAAGCACCTTGTCCCAAGTGTAAGGAGCCTGATCATTGGGTCTGTGGCTGTCCTGGGTCCTGAAGGGGACGTGGGCCGGAACCACTCATGACCCTTGACTGAGAAGGCCCTCTACTCGAGCCAGTTCCCAATAAGAACATCCACTTGAATGGGACGGAGCCAAGGGTCACCCCAGATGTGGAAAGTAGAAATGGGAGCTGCCTACTCTATGCTAAATAACTTCTCTGGACCTCTACCTTCCGACTCCTGCCAAGCAATTGGGGTTAGTGGAAAACCCTCTATCAGATTTACTCCTCCCCTGTGTTACCTTTGGGATCAAACAGCCTTTCCCCATCCATTCCTGGTGATGTCAGAATGTCCTATCCTCCTTTTAGGGAAGAACACCCTCAGTAAACTAGGGGCACAAAAACTCAACACCAAGCCAATATCTTTTTCTCTGAACGGGTCCTTGAAACTGAGGAAATTATAGATCATTCCATAAATTTGGACTGATGGAATACCCGGAAGGGCTAAGACAGCAATACGTATAAAAATAAAACTAAAAAATCCCAGAAACTTTCTCCATAGGAAACAATATCCTATAAAGCCAGAGGCCAGAAAAGGACTTCAAATAATAATTATTAAATTCCTGAAACATGGGCTATTAATTTCTATTAATTTGTCCTGCAATAAATACTCTTATCCTCCCTGTTAAAAATAAAATAAAATGGAGACTATAGATTAGTGCATGATCTACAAATTATAAAGGAGGCTGCTGTCCCAATCCACCCTATAGTTCCCAACCCTTATACTATCCTAGGAGAAATACCTTCTCAGATCCAATGGTTTTCAGTCTCAAGGATGCTTTCTTTTGCATTCCTTAGAGCTCCTGCTCTCAATGCTTACTTGCCTTTGAATGGACCAAGGAGGACACCACAAGCCAACTACTAAACTGGACTGGACTGCCCCAGGGCTTTAGGGATAGCCCTCATTTATTTGGATTGGCACTAGCCAAAGATTGCAGGGACCTAATTCTTGAAATGGGGCAGAAAGCTCCTACAATATATAGATGATTTACTCATTTACTCCCCCTCCGAGGAAAAATGAATAGAGCACGCTACTAAGACTTATACACTGCAAGGGACATCAAAATAAATAACACAAGGAAACATTTGTTAAACCTGATAAAGTTGCAAAGGTAGCCGCCACCTCTGAAGATATATTCTTGGGAGCACTAATTCCATCCTTACCTACAGAACTACCAACCCCTAAATATAACCAAGAAGAAATACAATGGACATCCCAACACAGTACACCAAGGGACCAACAGGATGGTTCCAAGTAGAGGGACTCCTTTATGTACCCTCAGTTTTACAATGGAAAATCGTAAAAGCCCTCCATGAATTACAACAGTCCCTCAACTCATTAGCCAATAAAATCTTAGACAATCATATTGCCCTAGACCCGTGGTCGGCAAACTGCGGCTCGCGAGCCACATGCGGCTCTTTGGCCCCTTGAGTGTGGCTCTTCCTAAGCCTTAGGAGTACCCTAATTAAGTTAATAACAATGTACCTACCTATATAGTTTGTTTAAAAAATGTGGCTCTCAAAAAAAATTTCAATCGTTGTACTGTTGATATTTGGCTCTGTTGACTAATGAGTTTGCTGACCACTGCCCTAGACTATCTCTTAGCTGCAGAATGAGGAGTTTGTGCTATTCAAAATACTGCATGCTGTACCAACATCAATAATTCTGCTAAAGTAGAAACAAGAGTATGTGAAATTCCAAATCATGCAGCCTGGTTAAAAGGCCTCAGAGAAACCCAACTTTTGCCCGGTATGGTGACCTCGCTTACTTGGAACTGGAAATATTGGTTATGGTCTCTCTTTGAAAGTCTTTTAATCTCTCTCCTCGTCATATTAGTGATAACACTGTTTGGTCCTTGTTTGTTTAACCTACTTGTAAAATTTGTCTCTTCCAGGTTACAACTAGTGCACCTGTAAAAGATGCTTCGCCAGGGCTTTCAACCCGCCCCCCGGCCCCCCATACACATACGCAGAGACAACTCAACCCCTTGATCAAGCTAGCCAAAGATTCTGATTCTGAGGAAACCTACCCTCTGCCCTGACAGACAGCAAGAGAATGAGACCCAATCCCCAACTTCGCCCATTTGTCAGC